TATTCTCTAAGCTTCTAAATTTTGATAATGGCAATTTGAATCCAATGGATCCCCGAAAAGGAGAATAGACAATAAGGAAAAATTTATTGTGAACTGCAATGCGCCACTCGATTTCATAAAGCTGTGTACACCCTATTCAATGCACTGTTGTTGATTCTTTCAGTTTCCAGTTTCTGCTACATATTTGTTTCAATTATATTTTGTAGAGTTATGGTGATTGATCGGGTACTCTTAATTTCTTGTTTGTCCATGCAATCCAGGACACTGCAAAATGCTCTTCGTTCTACTAGTCCGTTAATTATTTTAGGATTTGCTCGACTTATTTCAACATCGAGTGTGAATTATCAGGTGCAGCTATTTGTGTCTTCGTCTTGTCTACTATACATCCATTGCTATAAATATTTTCATTTGTTGTGTACTGGCTACTTTGGCCAACTTGTGCATGTGTAGATATAGATGAACGTTGATATATCAAAGTCAATACTGATGCAACTGATATATGTCAATAAGTTGTTGAACTATTTTAATTGTTTAAGGATGAGCTTTTTTTATATGAAGAAACAAAGTTAATATGAAGAAACTTATTAGGATATTTGTGATGTCATAATGAAAAGCAAGACAATCTGATTAAACATTGTTGGATTATCAATTAAAATAAGAGCCGCATGTAAATAAAAAACTGCCTCAGTTCTTTTTCTAGTATGAAAACTGTAACTGTACACTGGAATAATGGTTAACACTGCAATGTGGAATTTTTTCTGCAATTTTCTGGTCGTATACCTTCATCCATACCCCTAAAGGATTTCATTTGCACATTTTCATCAATTTGTCTCGACTTTTTTTTTCTTCCTACAGGTTCATGTTGGGGAATACGGTGTGCACTGGAATTTCTTTTTCACTCTAGCTGCCGTGGCAATTCTCACATTCATTATTAATGTGCATCCAAATTATTGCGGGATTTTAGGCTCCTTGATCCTCATTGGTATGCTGTCTACTTTACTCTGCCAGTGTTTGAATGACAAACTAGATAAATTGTTTGATTTCTTCATTTAACACGGATAAATTTATGTGTAATATCAGGATATCAAGCTTTACTATTGTGTGGGCTGAATAAATATATCATGTCGGAAGAAAGGAAACCAGATATCTTTAGTCAAAACAAGGAAGGAATATTTAGCATATTCGGTGAGGATCTCTCTGTAAGTAAATTAAAGTACTCTGGATATTCATTGTTCATGTATCTTTTGTTTCTCACTAATCGGCAGCAAACA